CCCGGGGAAAAGCAGCGGCTCCCGCAGGATGCAGGGCTGGTGGTTTAGTGCTCCCACCTTTGCTGGGCGTCCCCCAAGCTTTGCTGCCAGTATAAAAGCAGGAAAACCCCAAGAAATGAGGGAGCCCTCTTGACGTGTTCAGGAGGGGGAAATCTGTCTGGCTTTGCGGGGGCAAGGAGAGATGCTGAGTCCTGCAGGGGAAACCAAGCACCTGCCTGCAGCGGCCTGAAAGCCTGGACAGTGGAGGAGGAGGTTATATCAAGCTCCAGGAGACCTGGATCTGTTCCTAATGGGGCCGCTAACGGCCCCAGGGACCTTTCACAGGTCACTCCCTCCTGCTACTGCCTTAGTTTCCTCAGCTGTAAATATGAGAAGCTGCAGCAATGCCAGCCAGCTTGGGAGGGTGTCGCAAGGGTGATCAATGACCATCACGCGTTGAAGCTCTCAGGTGGAAGATGCCGTCGAGGTGCAAAGCTACAAATAATCACCGACAGAACTGGTTTTTTACTCTTAGTTTGAGCCGTCTTTCCAAGAACACACTGCACATGGCGGTCCCTGGCCTGCAAGCAGCTCTGTGGACACAGGGAACTCTCATGGGACGCCAGGAATCCGCTGGCGGGGAGCCACACGCGAGACCTGGTTTTACTGCCGAAATGCAGCCACCTTGGGTGGTGCTCAGTGCTCAGCGCTCAGCGCCATGGCAGCAAATCCTGCCACAAAGATGCCCTGGGATCTCTCAGGGCTGGGAATATAATCCTAATGCCACGGGGCCCCCCTCCGCTGTAACACCGCCCTGTTTTCAGGGCCCGGCTGAGCTGCCACGCCACACAGCTGCCCAACGCTGAGGCCAGAGCCCCGCGCTGCCCGCTCAGACCCCCGGCGGGGCAGAGCCTGGGGAAGGCAGGGGGCACAGCGTGCCCTTATGGTGCCGACAGGCCGGCCTGGCTCCGGGGTCTGTCACCAGAGGCACGTCCCCGCCACGCCTGGTGTGAGGGCAGAGCCAGGCCCATGGGGGTCACGGACGCCACAGCAGCAAGGCCCCCTCAAGGGATCAGGTCCTCCCAAGGCAGTTACCCCCAAGGGGATCAGGTCTCCCCAAGGCAGTGGGTCCCTCCCAGGGGTTCAGGGTCACCCCCAGGGATCGGGGTCCCCAAGGCGGCAGGGACCCCCCAGGGGATCGGCCC